TAACGCTACTCATTCACAACCCAGATCGCGGCCCTCCTCCCCATGTGAATGAGTATGGGGTACATACCGCTACTCATTCACAACCCAGATCCCGGCCCCTCCTCCCCCCATGTGAATGAGTATGGGGTACATACCGCTACTCATTCACAACCCAGATCCCGGGCCCTCCTCCCCCATGTGAATGAGTATGGGGTACATACCGCTACTCATTCACAACCCAGATCCGGCCCTCCTCCCCCATGTGAATGAGTATGGGGTACATACCGCTACTCATTCACACCCAGATCCCGGCCCCTCCCCCATGTGAATGAGTATGGGGTACATACCGCTACTCATTCACAACCCAGATCCCGGCCCTCCTCCCATGTGAATGAGTATGGGGTACATACCGCTACTCATTTACAACCCAGATCCCGGCCCTCCTCTCCCATGTGAATGAGTATGGGGTACATACCGCTACTCATTCACAACCCAGATCGCGGCCCTCCTCCCCCATGTGAATGAGTATGGGGTACATAACGCTACTCATTCACAACCCAGATCCCGGCCCTCCTCCCCCAAAGTGAATGAGTATGGGGTACATACCGCTACTCATTCACAACCCAGATCCCGGCCCTCCTCCCCCATGTGAATGAGTATGGGGTACATACCGCTACTCATTCACAACCCAGATCCCGCCCCTCCTCCCCCATGTGAATGAGTATGGGGTACATACCGCTACTCATTCACAACCCAGATCCCGGCCCTCCTCCCCCCATGTGAATGAGTATGGGGTACATACCGCTACTCATTTACAACCCAGATCCCGGCCCCTCCTCTCCCATGTGAATGAGTATGGGGTACATACCGCTACTCATTCACAACCCAGATCGCGGCCCTCCTCCCCCATGTGAATGAGTATGGGGTACATAACGCTACTCATTCACAACCCAGATCCCGCCCTCCTCCCCCCAAGTGAATGAGTATGGGTACATACCGCTACTCATTCACAACCCAGATCCCGGCCCTCCTCCCCCATGTGAATGAGTATGGGGTACATACCGCTACTCATTCACAACCCAGATCCCGGCCCTCCTCCCCCATGTGAATGAGTATGGGGTACATACCGCTACTCATTCACAACCCAGATTGCGGCCCTCCTCCCCCATGTGAATGAGTATGGGGTACATACCGCTACTCATTTACAACCCAGATCCCGGCCCTCCTCTCCCATGTGAATGAGTATGGGGTACATACCGCTACTCATTCACAACCCAGATCGCGGCCCTCCTCCCCCATGTGAATGAGTATGGGGTACATAACGCTACTCATTCACAACCCAGATCCCGGCCCTCCTCCCCCAAGTGAATGAGTATGGGGTACATACCGCTACTCATTCACAACCCAGATCCCGGCCTCCCTCCCCCATGTGAATGAGTATGGGGTACATACCGCTACTCATTCACAACCCAGATCCCGGCCCTCCTCCCCCATGTGAATGAGTATGGGGTACATACCGCTACTCATTCACAACCCAGATCCCGGCCCTCCTCCCCCATGTGAATGAGTATGGGGTACATACCGCTACTCATTTACAACCCAGATCCCGGCCCTCCTCCCATGTGAATGAGTATGGGGTACATACCGCTACTCATTCACAACCCAGATCCGGCCCTCCTCCCCATGTGAATGAGTATGGGGTACATACCGCTACTCATTCACAACCCAGATCCCGGCCCTCCTCCCCCATGTGAATGAGTATGGGGTACATACCGCTACTCATTCACAACCCAGATCCCGGCCCTCCTCCCCATGTGAATGAGTATGGGGTACATACCGCTACTCATTCACAACCCAGATCCCGGCCCTCCTCCCCCATGTGAATGAGTATGGGGTACATACCGCTATCATTCACAACCCAGATCCCGGCCCTCCTCCCCCATGTGAATGAGTATGGGGTACATACCGCTACTCATTCACAACCCCAGATCCCGGCCCTCCTCCTCCCCATGTGAATGAGTATGGGGTACACACCGCTACTCATTCACAACCCAGATCCCGGCCCTCCTCCCCATGTGAATGAGTATGGGGTACACACCGCTACTCATTCACAACCCAGATCCCGGCCCTCCCCCCCATGTGAATGAGTATGGGGTACACACCGCTACTCATTCACAACCCAGATCCCGGCCCTCCTCCCCATGTGAATGAGTATGGGGTACACACCGCTACTCATTCACAACCCAGATCCCGGCCCTCCTCCCCCATGTGAATGAGTATGGGGTACAACCGCTACTCATTCACAACCCAGATCCCGGCCCTCCTCCCCCTATGTGAATGAGTATGGGGTACATACCGCTACTCATTCACAACCCAGATGATGGTCATTGGCCCCTGTCTAAATTGTCACAACCCAGATCCCCTCCCCTATGTGAATGAGTATGGGGTACATACCGCTACTCATTCACAACCCAGATCCCGGTTCTCCTCCCCCATGTGAATGAGTATGGGGTACATACCGCTACTCATTCACAACCCAGATCCCGGCCCTCCTCCCCCATGTGAATGAGTATGGGGTACATACCGCTACTCATTCAAAACCCAGATCCCGGCCTCCTCCCCCATGTGAATGAGTATGGGGTAAAAACCGCTACTCATTCACAACCCAGATCCCGGACCTCCTCCCCCATGTGAATGAGTATGGGGTAATACCGCTACTCATTCACAACCCAGATCTTGGCCCTCCTGGGTTGGCCCCAACCCAATGGAGTTGGCGGAAAAAAAATCATTCACTTGGGCTCTTGCAGCCTTGGCTTTATTTTTTCTTAAAAAAATAAAAAAAAAAAAAAAAAGTGTTTTTTTTTTATTTTTTTTTTTTTTTTCCTGAATTTAATGCTGATGAGTATTACACTACCCGCTACTCATTCTGGTCTTGGGTTCGATTCCTGACCATGGCGCCCTCCTGCATGGAGTTTGCATGTTCTCTCCTGTGCTTGCGTGGGTTTCCTCCGGGTGCTCCCGGTTTCCTCCAAAGACATGCTGGTAGGTTAATTGGCTCCTGTCTAAATTGTCCTAGTTTTATCCCTGGTCATGTGGAATCTCCTGCATGGTGGGGGTTGGGGAAAGACCTGGCAACCTACCCTGTAAAAATAATTGCTAAGAGAATTCATGGAAAAAGTCGCTTACGAGTGACAGTCCATGCAATCGCCAAGGGTCGGATACAACTGAATGGATAGATAGATCTGAAACTTAAAAAAAAAAAAAAAACTTTACCAAGTTCCAAAAGTCACCAAATGAATCATTCTACATATTTTTTTTTCTTAAAAAAAAAAAAAAAAAAGCCATATTTGTCAAATCAATTTAATATCCAAAATGAAATTTTTTATTTTATTTCTTAAAAAAAAAAAAAAAAAGAGGCATATTTGTAAATCAATTTAATATCCAAGATGAAAAAGTTTAAGTTTCACTTAAAGCCCTCATTTTACCATCACTAACGGTTGACATTTCCCAGCAAAGATAATCGCAGTAATACAATATAGCCGTTGTGGTGACATTGTGAGTCATTGGCATTGAGTTACTGGATGTCAGCGGCGTAGAGTTGTGTTTCCACGCGGAATGGCCACCATGCAGCTATTTCTCTCGTTCCCACTTAATTCAACCTTGTGCGGTAAATTGAATTGTACCTCCTGCATCTTTTGTGCAGCCTTGGCTTTATGTTCACAGAATAGGCACGTTCATTAAACATATTTTTTATGCTTCCTTTTGATGCAGAAAACCTGATGTTTTATGACTTACATAATGTTTTTAATGTTTCAGCACCAAAAGACGGGGTCATTACTGCCGCTCCATCTTAAAAGTGGTTACGCAGCAATTTATTGACGTTGATCTTTGTTAAATGTAAGCAAAAATGGAGTAAATGTATGGGGGGGGGGGGGGTTTTCGTTCTCTTCAAAATCTGTGCTATGAAGGGAAAAGCATATTTTGCGCTGTCTTTTGAAATCCAGATATTGCTAAGGTTCATACAGGTCTACAGGGGTCTGAGGCAGTGCTGGGACAAGGTCATCTATATCAGTGGTTCTCAACCTTCCTAATGCCGAGACCCTTTAATACAGTTCCTCATGTTGTGGTGACCCCCAACCATAACATTATTTACCCAGTAATTATAATTCATGAAGTGTTTTACCTCCAATACTGCTGCTTTCTACACAGTAGCTGCTCTTTACGCATCGGAAATATGTTTTCCAAAGGTCTTAGGCGACCCCTGTGAAAGGGTCGTTCGACCCCCAAAGGGGTCACGACCCACAGGTTGAGAACCACTGATCTAGAGCCCAGGGTGAACATCCTAAATTGAATCCCCCCCCCCCCCCAAGATGAGCATTATGTGTAAGCAAAAATCCCTTCCCCTCCCCAAAAAATGAGCAGTAATCTGCCCCCTACCCCCTAAGCATGCATCCCCCCTCTTCCCAGTACAAATGTACACTATGGGGGGTACTCATGCGTGCTCACTACCAGGGGCAGACTGACAAGTCATGGGGCCCCCGGGCAATAGGGGATCATGGGGCCCTGTGTCCTTGCCCAAACTCAAAAACGCCTATGAAAAAGGTACCAGGGGCATCTCATGTGGCCCCCTACTGACCCCGGGCCTTCAGGCAGTGCCCAAGTTTCCAAGTGGTCAGTCTGCCCCTGCTCACTACAGAGCCCTGCTCTGTGTGTCCATAGACACATAGAGCATGGCAGACCACGATCTCGCTCCCTCCTCCTTGGCTGCGATTTACAGCTAATGCTGTCTCTGAGCCAATGAGAAGGGAGAGAGCCAGGAGAGCAACTGCTCTCATGAACGTTGCTGGATCGAGATCAGGCTCAGGTAATGATTAGGTGGGGCTGGTGGGGGTGAAGCTGAGCATTGAAGGTTTTTTTTTTCTTTTATGCACAGGATGCATGAAGGTAAAAAACCTTCAGACTTTAGAACTACTTTAAAGCAGAGGGGAAGTTCTTAAACCAAAAGGGGGAAGTTCCGCTTTAAGGACTGCTTCCCCACTCCCCTTTAAGGATTGGCACCTTTGGGGAGTGTGGGGGGGGAGCGGGTACCCAAATTTGACAGGTACCCACTCCTACTTTCGGTCCGGGTTTTTTTTTTTTCATTCTCATAAAAATCTGTGCTATGAAGGGAAAAGCATATTTTGAGCTGTCTTTTGAAATCCAGATATTGCTAAGGTTCATACAGGTCTGAGGCAGTGCTGGGACAAGGTCATCTAGAGCCCAGGGTGAACATTCTAAATTGTATCCCCCCCCCCTAAGATGAGCATTATGTGACAGCAAAAATCCCTTCCCCTCCCCAAAAAATGAGCAGTAATCTGCATGCTTACCCCCTAAGCATACATCCCCCCTCTTTCCAGTACAAATGTACACTATGGGGGTACTCATGCGTGCTCACTACCAGGGGAAGACTGACAAGTCATGGGGCCCCCGGGCAATAGGGGATAGGGGACCCTGTGTCCTTGCCCAAACTCAAAAAAGCCTATGAAAAAGGTACCAGGGGCATCTCATGGGGCCCCCTACTGACCCCGGAAATGGTCAGTCCGCCCTTGCTCACTACAGATCCCTGCTCTGTGTGTCCATAGACACATAGAGCATGGCTTCACTACAATCTCACTCCTTCCTCCTTGGCAGCGAGAGCTAATGCTGTCTCTGAGCCAATGAGAAGGGACAGAGCCAGGAGAGCCACTGCTCTCATGCACATTGCTGGATCAAGATCAGGCTCAGGTAATGATTAGGTGGGGATGGTGGGGGTGAACCTGAGCATTGAACCTTCAGACTTTAGAACTACTTTAAAGCAGAGCTCCACCAAAAAGGGAAGTTCCGCTTAAAGGACTTCTCCCCCACTCCCAATTAAGAATTGACACCTTTGGGGAGTGGGGGGGGAGTGGGTACCCGAATTTGACAGGTACCCCGCTCCCACTTCTGGTCTGTTCGCCTGGGCGATCGGAAACGGAAGGTGTCCTCCCTCCCTGTAGTCTTTTGGGACACGTGACAGGTCCCAGAAGACTACAGGACCATTCATGAAGTGCATGGCTACTCGCACATGCTCAGTGGGTACCCGGCTGTGAAGCCGCAAGCTATCACAGCCGGTGCCCACACTGAAGATGCCTGGCCTCCTGGAATACAGGGCGGCCGGTGAAACGGGCTGTGGGGGGACACACCACGGGACTGAGGGACAGGTAAGTGGCTGTTTTTTAAAAGTCAGCAGCTACAGTTTTTGTAGCTACTGACTTTCATTTTTTGAAAGGTTGAGTGGAACTCCGCTTTAAGTCCTGATGAAGGGGGCAAGGTGTGCCCCTTGAAGCATGTTGGATGTTGCACCCAGTATATGTTCTTGGCTAAAATCTAATTTTGGGACTTGAATACTCTGTGGCGCTTCAGTGTTTAGATTTAAACAGGATCTTCCCATCCTGAGGTTCGTGTGGTAGTCCTTGATGACTGAAAGAAGGTCACATATCACACAGATACCCTATAAAGACACTATCAGTACCGTACTAATAAAATAAATGACTAGTACTAAATCATCACTTATCAAGGATCCAAAGCCATCAGTTTACTACTCTAAGCTATTGTTTCCCTGCAACAAGGTGACAACGTTGTTTGTTCTGTAGTGAAATTACTGCAGTGTTGTCACCCTACGATCTAAAATGGATATCTAGTTTTAGACGGCCTTTTTGATAGCGATAAACAAGTGCCGCAATGTCATCTACAAAAACATTTTATGTTTATTCTTTGTAAATAAAACCATACTTTTATTTTTCCCTGAAGGGCACAGAAAGTCTTAATGAACAACATTCATCTGCGATTGTAAAGCATTTGCTCACTTGCCGCTGTGAGCACCCTTATTGTCTTACAAGCAGCTGTCTTTATGTCTCAGAGGTATGATATATAGACAGAGTGAATGGCTTTTGTTTACCAGAAGGTATCTGAACTTTGGTGTCAAACTTTCATACGGATGAGGATGATGCTTATCTTCTAGTGTACATTGTGTGAAACTGCCTGCTGCTGGTCAGGAATGCCTTTATAATGAGTCATTTCAAGATGCTGCAATGTAAAAAAAAAAGAGAAAGAATAAAAGCCAATAAACTTAATACAGACATCATAGTGGCTACGTGGTTAACTCTTCAACCTAACAGTTCAGATTTGGGCACCAATTCACAAAGAGAACATTGGGGAACTGGAGAAAGTACAGAGAAGGGCAACTAAACTGATACGAGGCATGGAGGAGATCAGCTATGAGGAAAGATTAGAGGATCTTAATTTATTCTCTACTGAGAAGAGGACCATGTATAATACATAAGGGGGGATATGATCTCCATGTATAATACATAAGGGGGGATATGATCTCCATGTATAATACATAAGGGGGGATATGATCTCCATGTATAATACATAAGGGGGGGATATGATCTCCATGTATAATACATAAGGGGGGATATGATCTCCATGTATAATACATAAGGGGGGATATGATCTCCATGTATAATAAATATAAGGGGGGATATGATCTCCATGTATAATAATATGGGGGGATAGATCTCCATGTATAATACATAAGGGGGGATATGATCTCCATGTATATATACATAAGGGGGGATATGATCTCCATGTATAATACATAAGGGGGGGATATGATCTCCATGTATAATACATAAGGGGGGGTATATGATCTCCATGTATAATACATAAGGGGGGATATGATCTCCATGTATAATACATAAGGGGGGATATGATCTCCATGTATAATACATAAGGGGGGGATATGATCTCCATGTATAATACATAAGGGGGGATATGATCTCCATGTATAATACATAAGGGGGGATATGATCTCCATGTATAATACATAAGGGGGGGATATGATCTCCATGTATAATACATAAGGGGGGGATATGATCTCCATGTATAATACATAAGGGGGGATATGATCTCCATGTATAATACATAAGGGGGGGTATATACATAAGGGGGGATGATCTCCATGTATAATACATAAGGGGGGATATGATCTCCATGTATAATACATAAGGGGGGATATGATCTCCATGTATAATACATAAGGGGGGATATGATCTCCATGTATAATACATAAGGGGGGATATGATCACCATGTATAATACATAAGGGGGGATATGATCTCCATGTATAATACATAAGGGGGGATATGATCACCATGTATAATACATAAGGGGGGGGATATGATCTCCATGTATAATACATAAGGGGGGATATGATCTCCATGTATAATACATAAGGGGGGATATGATCTCCATGGGGGGAATATCTCCATATAATACATAAGGGGGAGGGATATGATCTCCATGTATAATACATAAGGGGGAGGGATATGATCTCCATGTATAATACATAAGGGGGGGAAATGATCTCCATGTATAATACATAAGGGGGGATATGATCTCCATGTATAATACATAAGGGGGGGATATGATCTCCATGTATAATACATAAGGGGGGATATGATCTCCATGTATAATACATAAGGGGGGGATATGATCTCCATGTATAATACATAAGGGGGGATATGATTTCCATGTATAATACAGAAGGGGGGATATGATCTCCATGTATAATACATAAGGGGGGATATGATCTCCATGTATAATACATAAGGGGGGATATGACCTCTAGAGATGAGCGAATCGAAGTAGGCGAAGTGGAATTCGTTTCGAATATTAGGAAAATTTTCGATTCGCGTCGAATCCGAAAAATAAGCAGACTTCGAAATTTTTCCTAAAATGGCGGCGACATGTGCGGCGACGGAGCGGGGGATGTCTGGGAAGGCGCGCAGACAAGGCGCGCTGACCCATAATGCATTCATTCATGACATGTGATCGCATTAGCCAATCAGCAGCCAGCCAGCCCAGCACAGTGTAATGGTCAAGCTATAAATGGCGGCCATTTTAGAATTCTCTATTTGCCTCCAGTCATTCAACAGAGGCAGACCTGGCTGTATGCAGGGAGAGAGTTAGGGCCACAGAATCGTTACTTAGGGCCATAGAAACGTTACATAGGGCCACAGAAACGTTACTTAGGGCCACAGAATCGTTAGTTAGGGCCACAGAAACGTTTACTTAGGGACACAGAATTGTTACTCAAGGACAGACAGAATTGTTACTGAGGGATAAAGAATTGTTACTGAGGGCCACAGAATCGTTACTTAGGGCCACAGAATTGTTACTTAGGGACAGACACAGAATTGTTACTGAGGGACACAGATTTGTTACTGAGGGCCACAGAATCGTTACTTAGGGCCACAGAAACGTTACTTAGGGCCACAGAATTGTTACTTAGGGACAGACACAGAATTGTTACTGAGGGACACAGATTTGTTACTGAGGGCCACAGAATCGTTACTTAGGGCCACAGAATTGTTACTTAGGGACAGACACAGAATTGTTACTGAGGGACACAGTTTTGTTACTGAGGGCCACAGAATCGTTACTTATGGCCACAGAAACGTTACTTAGGGCCACAGAATTGTTACTTAGGGACAGACACAGAATTGTTACTGAGGGACACAGATTTGTTACTGAGAGGGCCACAGAATCGTTACTTAGGGCCACAGAATTGTTACTTAGGGACAGACACAGAATTGTTAGTGAGGGACACAGATTTGTTACTGAGGGCCACAGAATCGTTACTTAGGGCCACAGAAACGTTACTTAGGGCCACAGAATTGTTACTTAGGGACAGACACAGAATTGTTTATTGAGGGACACAGAATTGTTACTAAGGGCCACAGAAACATTACTTAGGGCCACAGAATCGTTACTTAGGGCCATCAGAAACGTTACTTAGGGCCACAGAAACATTACTTAGGGACACAGAATTGTTACTCAGGGACAGACAGAATTGTTACTTAGGGCCACAGAATCGTTACTTAGGGCCACAGAAATGTTACTTAGGGCCACAGAAACATTACTTAGGGACACAGAATTGTTACTCAGGACAGACAGAATTGTTACTGAGGGCCACAGAATCGTTAATTAGGGCCACAGAAACGTTACTTAGTGCCACAGAATTGTTACTTAGGACAGACACAGAATTTTTTACTGAGGGACACAGATTTGTTACTGAGGGCCACAGAATCGTTACTTAGGGCCACAGAAACGTTACTTAGGGCCACAGAATTGTTACTTAGGGACAGACACAGAATTGTTTTTGAGGTACACAGAATTGTTACTGAGGGCCACAGAAACATTACTTAGGGCCACAGAAACGTTACTTAGGGCCACAGAAATCGTTACTTAGGGCCACAGAAAACCGTTACTTAGGGCCACAGAAACGTTACTTAGGGACACAGAATTGTTACTCAGGGACAGACAGAATTGTTACTGAGGGATACAGAATTGTTACTGAGGGCCACAGAAATCGTTACTTAGGGCCACAGAAACGTTTACTTAGGGCCACAGAATTGTTACTTAGGGACAGACAGAATTGTTACTGAGGGACACAGATTTGTTTACTGAGGCCACAGAATCGTTACTTAGGGCCACAGAATTGTTACTTAGGGACAGACACAGAATTGTTACTGAGGGACACAGATTTGTTACTGAGGGCCACAGAAATCGTTACTTAGGGCCACAGAAACATTACTTAGGGCCACAGAATTGTTACTTAGGGACAGACACACTAATTGTTATTGAGGACACAGAATTGTTACTGAGGGCCACAGAACCGTTACTTAGGGCCACAGAAACGTTACTTAGGGCCACAGAATTGTTACTTTAGGGGACAGACACAGAATTGTTACTGAGGGACACAGATTTGTTACTGAGGGCCACAGAATCGTTACTTAGGCCACAGAATTGTTACTTAGGGACAGACACAGAATTGTTATTGAGGGACACAGAATTGTTACTGAGGGCACAGAACCGTTACTTAGGGCCATCAGAAACGTTAACTTAGGGCCACAGAATTGTTACTTAGGGACAGACACAGAATTGTTACTGAGGGACACAGATTTGTTACTGAGGGCCACAGAAACGTTACTTAGGGCCACAGAAACGTTACTTAGGGCCACAAAATCGTTAGTTAGGGCCACAGAAACGTTACTTAGGGACACAGAATTGTTACTCAGGGACAGACACAGAATTGTTTACTGAGGGATACAGGAATTGTTACTGAGGGCCACAGAATCGTTACTTAGGGCCACAGAAACGTTACTTAGGGCCACAGAAACGTTACTTAGGGCCACAGAATTGTTACTTAGGGACAGACACAGAATTGTTATTGAGGGACACAGAATTGTTACTGAGGGCCACAGAACCGTTACTTAGGGCCACAGAAACGTTTACTTAGGGCCACAGAATTGTTACTTAGGGACAGACACAGAATTGTTACTGAGGGACACAGATTTGTTACTGAGGGCCACAGAAACCTTACTTAGGGCCACAGAAAAGTTACTTAGGGCCACAGAATCGTTACTTAGGGCCACAGACCGTTACTTAGGGCCACAGAAACGTTACTTAGGGCCACAGAATTGTTACTTAGGGACAGACACAGAATTGTTACTTAGAGGACAGACACAGATTTGTTACTGAGGGCCACAGAAACGTTACTTAGGGCCACAGAATCGTTACTTAGGGCCACAGAAACGTTACTTAGGGCCACAGAAACGTTACTTAGGGCCACAGAATTGTTACTCAGGGACAGACACAGAATTGTTACTGAGGGATACAGAATTGTTACTGAGGGACACAGAACCGTTACTTAGGGCCACAGAAACGTTACTTAGGGCCACAGAATTGTTACTTAGGGACAGACACAGAATTGTTACTGAGGGACACAGATTTGTTACTGAGGGCCACAGAAACGTTACTTAGGGCCACAGAATCGTTACTTAGGGCCACAGAAATGTTACTTAGGGCCACAGAAACTTTACTAGGGCCACAGAATTGTTACTTAGGGACACAAAATTGTTACTCAGGGACAGACACAGAATTGTTACTGAGGGATACAGAATTGTTACTGAGTGGCCACAGAAACCGTTACTTAGGGCCACAGAACTGTTACTTAGGGCCCACAGAAACGTACTTAGGGCCACAGAATTGTTACTTAGGGACAGCCACAGTTAATTGTTTAATAGTGAGGGCCCACATACAGGCCAATTGTTACCACAACAGAACCGTTACGAGGGCCACAATCAGAATTGTTACGTTAGAGGACACAGAATTGGTACTGGGGCCACAGAACCACGGAACTGTTACTTAGGGCCACAGGAACCGTTACTTAGGGCCACAGAAAACGTTACTTAGGGACACGAATTGTTACTCAGGGACAGACACAGAATTGGTTACTGAGGGACACAGAATTGTTACTTGATGGCAACAGAACTGTTACAGAGAGCCACTGAACTGTTACTTAAGGGCCACAGAAACGGTTACTTAGGGCCACAGAAAACGTTACTTAGGGCTACAGAAACGTTACTTAGGGCCACAGATCCGTTGTAACTTAAGGGCCACAGAAACGTTTAACTTAGGGACACAGAATTGTTTAACTACAGGGACAGACACAGAATTGTTTACTGAGGGACACACAGATTTGTTACTGATGGCGACACAGAACCGTTTACATAGGGCCACAGAATACCGTTACTTAGGGGGACACAGGAATCGTTTACTCAGGGACAGACACAGAATTGTTACTCAGGGACACAGAAATTGATACTGAGGGACACAGAATTGTTAAGCTGTGGGGACACAGAATTGTTACTCAGGGACACAGAATTTGGTATTCTCAGGGACAGGACAACAGAATTGTTACTCAGGGGGACCAGACACAGAAATTGTTACTGAGGGACAACAGAATTTGTTAACTGAGGGACACAGAAGTTATGGTTACTGAGTGGAGACACAGGAACCAACCGTTACTTAGGGCCCACAGAAACGTTAACTTAGGGACACAGAATTGTTACTCAGGGACAGGTACACAGAATTTGTTACTTCAGGGACACTAGAATTGGTTACTGAGGGACACAGAATTGTTACTCAGGGACACCAGAATTGTTTACTGAGGGGACACAGAATTGGTTACTCAGGGACACAGAATTGTTATACTCAGCTGACACAGAATTGTTACTCAGGGACAGACACAGAATAGTTACTGAGGGGACACAGAATTGTTACTGAGGGACACAGAATTGTTAACTGAGGGCCACAGAACTGTTACTTAGGGCCACGACAGAAACGTTACTCGTGGACCTCAGAATTGGTACTCAGGGACAGACACAAGAATTGTTACTCATGGGACAGACAGAATGTTGATGAATTAAAGACAACATGCAGAGGAGTGGCAGAAAGGATGCAATGATTTAGGAGCGAGCAGACGTGCAGCAGAGGAAGCGGGTTCGAGGCAGCAACTGATTTGCAGCCACGAGGCCAGTGCTCCCGGGTTTGTCAATCCAGTACAGTGAGGAAGAGCTAACAGAGGGCGGGTCAGGAAACGTGGGGAGAACATTCCGCCTCTTTCAAAGCAGCCAGGAGAAGAAGTAGTGGCGAGGGAGAGATAAGAGTGGGCTCGGTAGCCGGTTCCTAGAGACAGGTCTGTGTCTCCTGACCCACACCGCAGGGCAGAGGGGCTAGTAGTGAGGAGGAGACCCTAATTGATGATGATGAGGCTGATCGCACTTGGCAGCCTCATCTAATTGCTTCCGCATCATCAGGAGAAGAGGGTGGCAGCTTGGCAGCGAGAAAAACAGTCGGTGGGATTGTCTCCATCGCCACACACTTTGCATGTGCCACTTTCAGGTCTGCCTCACACACTGCTGGTGTGTTCCATTTTTTGTTCATAGGAGGTGCTGGCAGATTACGGGGCTTCCCATAGCTGCTGGCCAGGCCCTAATCTGCCATGGGCCCCTGTACCCGCCTCCTCATGCTGCTGCCAGAGGTCCACAGTGTCTCATGCCATGTGCCACTTTCAGGTCTCCTCACACTGCTGGTGGTGTTCGCATTTTTTGTCATAGGGTGCTGGCTGAATCGGGCCTCCCATAGCTGCTGACCAGGCCCGTAATCAGCCATGGGCCCCTGTACCGCCTCTCTCATGGTGCTGCCAGGTCCAGAGTCTCTCATGGGTCCCTGTACGGCCTCCCATTGCTGCTGTCTCCATCGCCACACTCTGCCATGTGCCACTTTCCAGGTCTCCTCACACTGCTGGTGTGTTCACATTTTTTTGGTCATAGGGTGCTGGCAGATTACGGGCCTCCATAGCTGCTGTGCCAGGCCGTTTTTAATTATTCTGCCATGGGCCCCTGTACCGCCTCCATCATGCTGCTGCCAGGTCCACAGTGTCTCATGCCATGTGCCACTTTCAGGTCTCTCACACTGCTGGTGTGTTGAATTTTTTGACATAGGGTGCTGGCAGATTAACGGGCCATCCATAGCTTCTGCCAGGCCCCCTAATCTGCCTATGGGCCCCTGTACCGCCTCCTCATAGCTGCTGCGGTTGAGGTCCACAGATGTCTCATGCCATGTGCCACTTTCAGGTCTCCTCACACGCACTGCTGGGGGAGCTTGTGTTCAATTTTTTGTGACAATAGGGTGCTGGCAGATTACGGGCTTCCCATAGCTGCTGCCTGGGCCCCTAATATCTGCCATGGGCCCCTATATACCGCCTCCTCATGCTGCTGCCTGCAGGTCTCCACAGTGTCTCATGCCATGTGCACTTTTCAGGTCTCCTCACACTGCTGGTGTGTTGAATTTTTTGACATAGGGTGTGCGGGGGGGGGGGGGGGGGGGGGGCTTGGCAGGATTACGGGCCGTCCCATAGCTGGCTGCCAGGCCCCTAATCTGCCATGGACCCCTATACCGCCTCCTCATGCTGCTGCCAAGTCGATAGTCTGTCATGGGTTCCCCTGTACGGCCTCCCATTGCTGCTGTCTCCCATCGCCATACACTCTGCCATGGTGCCACTTTCAGGTCTCCTCACACTGCTGGTGTGTTGTAATTTTTTGACATAGTAGGGTGCTGGCAGATACGGGCCTCTCATAGCTGCTGCCAGGCCCCTAATCTGCCATGGGCCCCTGTACCCCCTTTTTTCCTCATGCTGCTGCCAGGTCCACAGGTGTCTCATGCCATGTGCACACTTTCAGTCTCCTCACACTGCTGGTCGCTGTGTTGAAATTTTTTGACATAGGGTGATGGCAGATTACGGGCCTCCCATAGCTGCTATGCCAGGCCCCTAATCTGCCATGGGCCCCTCTATACCGCTCTCCTCATGCTGCTGCCAGGTCCAGAGTCTCTCAATGGGTCCCTGTACGGCCCTCCCATTGCTGCTGTCTCCATCGCCACACTCTGGCCATGTGCCAACTTTCAGGTTCCTCTCACACTGCTGGTGGGTTCCATTTTTTGTCATAGGGTGCTGGCAGATTAAGGGCCTCCCATAACTGCATGCAGGCCCCCTTAATCTGCCATGGGCCCCTATACCGCTATCCTCATGCTGCTGCCAGTCTCAGAGTCTCTCATGGGTCCCTGTACGGCCTCCCATTGCTGCTGTCTCCATCGCCACACTCTGCCATGTGCCACTTTTCAGGTCTCCTCACACTGCTAGTGTGTTCCATTTTTTGTCCATAGGGTGCTGGCAGATTACGGGCCTCCTATAGCTGCTGCCAGGCCCCTATAATCTGCCATGGGCCCCTGTACCGCACCGACTCCTCATGCTGCTGCCAGGTCAGAGTCTCTCATGGGGTCCCTGTACGGCCTCCCATTGCTGCTGTCTCCATCGCCACACTCTATGCCATGTGCCACTTTCAGGTCTCCTCACACACACTGCTGGTGTGTTCAATTTTTTGACACTAGGGTGCTGGCAGATTACGGGCCTCCCATAGCTGCTGCAGGCCCACCTAATCTGCCATGGGCCCCTGTACCGTAGCTTCCTCATCGCTGCTGCCCAGGTCCACAGTGTCTCATGCCATGTGCCACTTTCCAGGTCTCCTCACACTGCTGTTGTGTTGAATTTTTTGACATATGGGTGCTGGCAGATTACGGGCCTCCCATAGCTGCTGCCAGGCCCCTAATCTGCCATGGGAGCCCCTATTACCGCCTCCTCATCGCTGCTGCCAGGTCCAGAGTCTTCCTCATGGGTCCCTGTACGGCCTCCCATTGCTGCTGTCTCCATCGCGCCACACTCTGCCATGTGCACTTTCAGGTCTCCTCACAATGCTGGTGTGTTCCATTTTTTTGTCATAGGGTGCTTGCAGATTACGGGCCTCCCATAACTGCTTGCCAGGCCCCTAATCTGCCATGGGCCCCCTATACACGCCTCCTCATGCCGCTGCCAGGTCCAGAGTCTCTCTATGGGTCCTGTACGGCCTCCCATTGCTGCTGTCTTCCATCAGCCACACTCTTGCCATGTGCCACTTTCAGGTCTCCTCACACTGCTGGTGTGTTCCATTTTTTGTCAATAGGGTGCTGGCAGATTAAGGGCCTCCTATAGCTGCTGCCAAGGCCCTAATCTGCCATGGGCCCCTGTACCGCCTCCTCATGCTGCTGCCAGGTCCAGAGTCTCTCATGGTTCCCTGTACGCCTCCCATTGCTGCTGTCTCCCATCGCCTACACTCTGCCATGTGCCACTTTCAGGTCTCTCACACACTGCTGGTGTGTTCAATTTTTTGACATAGGGTGCTGGTCAGATTACGGGCCTCCCATAGCTGCTGCCAAGGCCCCCTAATCTGCCTGGGCCCCTGTACCGCCTCCTCATGCTGCTGCCAGGTCCACAGTGTCCTCTTCCATGTGCCACTTTCAGGTCGCCTCACACTGCTGGTGTGTTGAATTTTTTTTCTGACATAGGGTGCTGGCAGATTATGGGCCTCCCATAGCTGCTGCCAGGCCCTCTAATCTGCCATGGGCCCCTATACCGCTTCCTCATGCTGCTGCCAAGTCCAGAAGTCTGTCATGGGTCCCTGTACGGCCTCCCATTGCTGCCTGTCTCCATCGCCACACTCTGCCATGTGCCACTTTCAGTGATCTCCTCACACTGCTGGTGTGTTGAATTTTTTGACCATAGGGTGCTGGCAGATTACGGCCTCCCATAGCTTGCGTGCCAGGCACCCTAATCTGCCATGGGCCCCTATACCAGCGCTCTCATGCTGCTGCCATGTTCCAGATCTCTCATGGGTCCCTGTACGGGCCTCCCATTGCTGCTGTCTCCATCGCACACACTCTGCCATGTGCCACTTTCAGGTCTCCTCACACTGCTGGTGTGTTCCATTTTTTGTCATAGGGTGCTGGCAGATTACGGGCCTCCTATAGCTGCTGCCAGGCCCCTAATCTGCCATGGGCCCTGTACCGCCTCCTCATGCTGCTGCCAGGTCCAAGTGAGTCTCTCATGGTTTCCCTGTACGGCCTCCCATTGCTGCTGTCTCCATTCGCCACACTCTGCCATGTGCCACTTTCAGGTCTCCTCACACACTGCTGGTGTGTTCAATTTTTTGACATAGGGTGCTGGCAGATTACGGGCCTCCCATAGCTGCTGCCAGGCCCCTAATCTGCTCCATGGGCCCCTGTACCGCCTCCTCATGCTGCTGCCAGGTCCACAGTGTCTCATGCCATGTGCCACTTTCAGGTCTCCTCACACTACTGGTGTGTTGAATTTTTTGACATAGGGTGCTGGCAGATTACGGGCCTCCCATAGCTGCTTCCAGGCCCCTAATCTGCCATGGGCCCTTATACCCGCCTCATCATGCTGCTGCCAAGTCCAGAGTCTGTCATGGGTCCCTGTACGGCCTCCCATTGCTGCTGTCTCCATCGCCACACTCTGCCATGTGCCACTTTCAGGTCTCCTCACACTGCTGGTGTGTTGAATTTTTTTGACATAGGGGTGCTGGCAGATTACGGGCCTCCCATAGCTGCTGCCAGGCCCCTAATATCTGCCATGGGCCCCTGTACCCGCCTCCTCATGCTGCTGCCATTTCCACAGTGTCTCATGCCATGTGCCACTTTCAGGTCTCCTCACACTGCTGGTGTGTTCAATTTTTTGACATTAGGGTGTTGGCAGATTACGGGCCTCCTATAGCTGCTGCCAGGCCCCTAATCTGCCATGGGCCCCTATTACGCCTCCTCATGCTGCTGCCAGGTCCAGAGTCTCTCATGGGTCCCTGTACGGCCTCCCATTGCTGCTGTCTTCCATCGCCACACTCTGCCATGTGCCACTTTATCAGGTCTCCTCACACACATGCTGGTGTGTTCAATTTTTTGACATAGGGTGCTGGCAGATTACGGGCCTCCCATTGCTGCTGCCAGGCCCGTAATCTGCCATGGGCCCCGTATCGACTCCTCATGCTGTGACGTTGCAACAAAGGTGGAATTCAACCCTACATATGTTTAGACCGCCTTTACGAACAGCAAAAGGCCTTCACAGATTTCCTGATGTTATAAAGCGGATTAAAGGTACTCCCTGTGTAACTTAGATGTCAGCCATTGGCAGCTTATGCGTGACACCTGTGCTTGCTCAGGCCCTTTTGAGGAGGGCCACGCTATTCGTGAGTCGGCAGGACTATGGATGAACGACGTCATTCCTCTGTTGCACGTCCTGGAACAAATGCTGTTAACAATGGCTGGTCAGGGTGCGGTAGACGTGGCGCACAGACCTCAACGCCACATGACCCCTGTGGGGGCAGGACAGGAAGAAGAGGAGGAGGTAGAGGCAGGGACATTGGTGTTCAGGAATTATTGAGTGAAATGGGTGGTTTTTTCCAACTCAGCGGACAGGAGTGGAGGAGCAGGGAGCATCTGGTAGAGGAAGGAGGTTGAGAGAGACAGAGGACCCAGACGCACCGTGGCAGTATGCTGTGGAGATGGAGGCAGGGAGTCCCTCACATTCCTTGGCACAAATGGCCCATAGCATGCTCGCTTGCTTGCGTAGCGACAGCCGAATAATAACCATCAGACAGAGGGATGACTTTTGGCTGTCCACCTTGTTGGACCCTCGCTACCGTTTCAAAAATGGTGGCCTTTTTCACACTACTGAGAGGGAGAGGGCCAAAAATAACGTACTATATTAAAACCACCTATGTAGTCAGCTGGTCTCTGCCTGTCTGCGCCAACGTCCATCCTCTCAGACACTGTGGGCCCTGTGCGCTCGCGTTCCGCTGCCATGGGCAGCAGGGGGAGGGGTGGTGGTAGGGTGGTGGGTAGGAGCAGTGGGCAGCTCCACCCAGCAGCAGCTGCCTCAGTCTGCAGTCGATGATGAGTAGCTTTCTTCAATAGCGCAGTGAGGAAAACTAATAACCAGACCGCAGCAGCAGCAGCAGCAGCAGCATCAGGTGGACCTGGAGCAGGACCTCAAACAACAGGCTTAGGCCTACTTGGACAGCACCTGCCAACCGAGGTAGACAATCCCCTTGACTACT